GAAAGGGATGGTATACCATTGTAATTTCAAACGCAATAAAATCTGCGTGTATTGCAGTAGAAATATCTCATTTATTTAGCGCCAACAAGCTCAGTAAACCTCATGAAAGTATTCAGGAAAAACTATTATAAATTCCCTCCTTTAAATTTGGAGAAAACATCCGTCCCTCTGTTGGGGCAACTTTGGTGACACCCTTACCTACCCTCCTCACACTGCTTCTACTCTGGACCGTTATTATCCTTCCACCTGCAATGACGCTTTTCTCTAACGCTAGATGACAGCACGTTATTGTTTCCGCTCTACGCGATGCGAGCGTCTGCGCAGCAACGCGCGAAGCCTGCGCGCGTGCGTGCATGTGGAGGAGCCCATAGGTCGATGTGAAGGAAGCCTACTTACAGTGAGTGCAGTGCTGGTTGCTGTGTACGTTTGCTGCGCGTGTGTGTGTGTGCTAGTGAGCTGCATCCATAGGGCAGCGGGAGTCCGTGTAGTAGGAGCAGGTCAGTGAGGTAAGTACGTAGTAGCGGATTGTTACTTGTCGCTGCGGCGGACGCTATTTTCGCGGCTAACGGAGGCTTGTCGCACTACAGCTTCGCCATATGTAGAATTCCCGATGTTGTCAACAGCGGCTAGCATACGCCCCTATAGCCAGGGATGTGTACTGTTTGTTATGCGTATGTAGGCGTACGCATGCGCGCGTGCGCGTGCGCGTGTGTTCGCGTGAGTGCGTGTGCGTGTGCGTGTGTGCGCGCGTGTATGTACGCATGCGGTCATGCGTGTATGAACGCATGCGTGTGTGCACGTGCGTGTGTGCGAGTGTGCGTGCGTGCATATGTGTACGCAAACGCGTGTGTGTGTGTGTGTGTGTGTGTGTGTGTGTGTGTGTGCGTGCGAGTGTGCGTGCGTGCATATGTGTACGCAAACGCGTGTGTGTATGTGCGTGCGCGCGTGTGTGCGCATGTGTGTGTGTGTGTGTGCGTGCATGCGTGCGTACGTGCATGTACTGTGTGTGTGCGTGCGTGCGTGCGTGCATGTGCTTGTGCTTTGCTGCTGATCGGGGGCGGCTTGAGGATAATGTTATATAATACTCGTGCTAAACTGAATTTGCTCTAATCATTAATTATATTTGCTAACGTAGTTTTTTTTATTACGTTTGCAGTAATTGGAATATTGTACTATTAAGCGATGGTTCACGAAAATAATAATTTCTCTTCTCTCGCCATCTGTTCCTTATTCACCCTCTCCTATTTCACCTTCTTTTCCTCGTCTTTTCCGTCTTCCTTCTGCTCTACCCGTCATCATGTTAATGCTTCTCTTTCTCGTTCTTCTCATGTTTTACTCTCTTCCATAATCTACCTTCTCTACCAATTCTTAAGCGGCCCATACACACACAATATTATTGACAATAATATTATCCATAATTAATATTGACAATATTATTGATCGTTAGAATAGTGAGTAATATTGAAGGAAAACTTTGACTTGCACAATATTCTGACGGAATCAAAACCCAGTAGATATTTATTGAAGGTTGCGCAATGGCCATGCCATCCGTTAGGATCCATGTCTGTTCACCTTCAGCATCAGAGCCCAAATGTCGATATTGCACAATATTATTGTGCCGTTGGTGGCCAACCTAATTTCTTGTCAATAATATTGCATCAATATTATTGTCAATGATATTGTGCGTGTATGGGCCGCTTTAGTCTTTTTTTTTTACTTTCTCAACCGCGACTACCTATACTTGCGTCTCCTGCTCATCTTTCTTTATCTCATACTTCTTTTATTTACTTTTTACTTATTCTCCAACCACCCAATTTATTTTCACTTTTTCCTATCATCATTTTTCTCCCTCTCGTTAGCAGTCCTCTTCTCTCTCCTTTTCTACTTCTTCTTCCTCTTCTTCTCCTTTTCTACTTCTTCTTCCTCTTCTTCTCATTTTTCACTTTTTTCTTCTTCATTTCCTCTTTCGTATTCTCCGACTTTCTTTTCTGTACCAGATGTCTCCCCAGTACAGGTGTTATCGACAGATACGCGCCCGCACACAAGCACGCACACAAGCACGCACACGAGCACGCACACGAGCACGCACACAAGCACGCACACACGCACACACACACACACACATACACACACACACACACACACACACACACACACACACTACACACACACACACACACACACACACACACACACA